TATATGATAGGAGTGAACAGTATTGCTTATATGTAGAAAAACTTGGTTTCGAATAATCCATTAATAGAATGTTGACGTTGTATCGAACATCTTCCAGAAGAGACTAGGAGTGATATTGAATTACAGGTCGTTCCTTTAATTGAGAGCCATGTAGAAATAACACCAAGGAATAAGAGAGTGAAAAACATCATAATGAAACTAAATGATAAGGACTAAATCGTGTCGAGGGCAGACAAAGTAGGAGCAGTAATAGTTATGGATAGGTTGAGCTTTATAGAAAAAATGATGCAGGCTTTTGATGACACTACCACATACAAGGTAATCCGTAGGGACCCTACAGAAATCCTTAAGTTTAGAGGTAGGGGTTACTTGCAGCATTGTGTAACAAGCAGGGAACTAGAGAAGTGGAAGATGAACTCGCTTCATATGGTCAGCCCAGATAGATGGAGTGTCGCTTAGAATTGTTGTAAATAATAAGGGAAGTGTGATGCATAAAACATCAGGATTTATTTGTAACCAGTTAAAGCAAAGCTCCGAGACGTGGAAGGTTTCAGTTAAGAATTCTTACGAATTCGTTAACTTAGTCGACGAGCAGGAACCAAAAGTGGAGATTTGCTGGTAAGTTTTAATGCCCAATATATGTACAATAGCATTCCTGCAAACTATGCCACATAAGCCTTGCAATCCACACTATATTAACATCATGAGAGTCTATGGAGTAGAAAGGTAAGTAGTGTCAATGATGATACTGATCAACCTGGAGATGCAGTGTACATATTTTACCTTTGATGGTAAAATGTACGAACATAGTTAAGGTTTAGCTATTCAATTTTGTATGCTACCAACTTTAGCAAATAATTGCACGGCTCAATTAGAGGATCGCTTGATTCATGAGGCACTTTTAATTCCTAAATTATTAGTCTGCCACGTGGACGACTACTTTGTTAGTTGGCAACATGGCGAAGAAAACCTGGAGAATTTTCTTGGTTTGATGAACAGGATCGATGGCTAAAAGAAATTCACCATCGAATTAGAAATGCAAGGTGGTTTACCTTTTCTTAATATCCTAGTTTACAGAAAGACTAGGTAAGGATGTGTATGGGAAACCCAAAAATGCAAGTATCCTATTGATTATCTTTACCAACCACACTAATGTGGTTAAGGTAGGAGGTATGATGGCTAAGTTAATAAGTGGCCTGAGTTTGGCAGTTGTTAAGCATAGGGACCAGTAATTAAGAAGACTAAATAGAATTTTGGTTGAGAACAGTTACCAACTAGGAGTGATTGAGAATTATTTTAGAATATTATCAAATATAATTAAGGGAAATACATATTTGGGGTTAGATAAGCGGATATATCAATCTTCCATGATACTTATGCTACCATCGTGCATTCTGTCCAAGAAGGTAAGCGAATTACTGGGAAAGCGGGGCATCAGGACCATTTATAGATAAAATAACACTTTCCTCAGTAATACATATCTTTCGAGAATACTCTGACTTGCCTCCTAGATCGGGCTGTTACAATATTCATGTGGTAGTGCCTATGTGGGAAAGACTTGTAGACCTATACATAAGAGGTTATCCGAACACAAAATAGCCTGCAATGGTATACGGGTCAAAAAATCGGAATTGGCCGAGCATATGGCTCGCACAAAACACCATAAAGATTGGTTTAATATTAAACGTTTGGCTGAATATGGAGACTATACCAGTAAGCAAAAGATTATGAAGACGATCGAAGTCAACAAAACAGCCAACATCCTAAATAAAAGATATGTGTGTCGGAAGTAAAGAATAAACTGCCTGTGGTTAGTGGATAAGATTAGGGAAGGGTAACGAGTTGTATCACTGATCAAGAGGAGAATTCTTGCTTTGGCTCGAATCTGGTTTTGACTCAAACATCACTCCAATTTCAAGACAAATTCATTCACACGCCACGTTTGCGATGAAACATTATCACATGGAATAACATTGCAGGGTTAAAGACATACGCGTTTTAAGAATGGATGTAGCTGCTTGGTCACGATTGCCTCCGTTTCAAGCTGCATCCGGAGCCACTTAACTTTGCTTTTCAGCAAACAGCTATGCAAAGCATAGGATATCCATCCAAAGCATGAGATGGCTAATAAGTGGAACAAATTGGACTATAAAAAGAAGGTGGGTTTAGAGCGTGCCGTTATTATTGTCTTCATATTTTTTAGGCATAGTTAAGCATGTTGTCCTACTATGATGATTACCATGTCATGAAGGACAAAAGCTCAACAATGATTCATCGGTGTCGCAGGGCGGTGCGCTGATGACCTATTCGCATGAATCTATACTCACGGTTCTAAGGCCATCCCTCTATAATTTAGGGGTAGGGCCAACTCAATAATTTCTTTTATTGGCCTCTTCAAACAAACTAAAGGGTAAACCAACATTATTTCTGCTTATTTCATTTTGTTATATTCATTTGTTAGAAACCAGAATTTCAAAAAGTATGTAAATCAATTCGACGAGTGTAAAATTGTGTAATTTAGTGTGTGTTATCTCTTGAAATGCCCACTATTCATTTCACATATCCAACTAGTATGAAGTATATGATACATAATGCATATGACTTGACAAGCTTACTGATCAATATTTGTATTACTATGCTCCAAAAATGATCTAAAGTATCAAAAATATTGCATATTCACGGTTTAAAATAACGATGGATATATTAGTAGCAATTTTATAACAAATATTTTCTCACAAATAAACGCCCGCGTTGTTCGCTACGGAGTTTTCCGCGTGCATTTTCTAATTACTTTCATATATTACTATCGTCTTGTAAATATTCCTCCGTTTTATCTTATTTTCCAAAATGCCTCCAAAACGGAATGCACGAAAACAGGATTTAGATTTTCAGGATAACGAAGCACCAAAAGAAAGTAAGAAAGGTCAGACAAAAGAGAACCCTAAAAGGGGGACCCATAAAATACCTTCCTCTGAGGATAATTACGAGCAGCGCGTTGAGCCTCCTCTAAAAGATAAAACTAAAAAGGGTAAAAAGAACAAAAAGAGAGGCGATTCAGACTCAGAGGAGCAAGAGACTCAATTTAACTCAAAATGCCTTATTGAGGATGCTAAAAATTCCGCATTGAGTAAGAAAGCTGACGTGGAAAAAAGGGTGAAAGTGGCGCCTCATAAAGGCAAGAAGAAAAAAGGTGACATTCAGCCGCAAAGTGATTCTGAACACGAAAAGCTGTCTAGTGACGTTGGAAATAACATCCCTTCGGAGAAGCCAAGTGATGACATGATGGGTGATGTTTGCGTAAATGAAGATAATGTTCAAATTCCAGAGTCGGGCGTCGACGATGAATTTTACACCAAAAAAAGAAAGGCTGGCCGAGCTAAGAACAGGAAGGCTGATCCCCAAATCTCTAAACCAGAACAAACCATTGTTCAGAATGCCAAAAAAAATAAAACAGTAAAAAAGGGAAAGCGCAACAAAGATGGTTTTAATGATTCAGATGATTCAAACTCGCAATTTCCAGATCTGACCGGTAAACTACAAAGCCTGACAATTGAAAATAATGACGAGCAAGATGATGATTTTGAGGAGATCAGTTTGTCGTCTAAAAGCCGTTTTGGAGTTTTTTCTCAATTGGTACCAACTAATGTCGACCGGGCACAAGTTAAAAGCATGAATGTTGATGTGCCACCAAAGACAACCAAGATTAGCAGCCAAAATGATACTGAAGTATGTACAAATATTTTGGCTAATACGCATCAGCCTTTGGTTTCTAAAGATTCTGACATACAAAGCGCAGAAATATTAACTTCTGACCATTCTTCAGTGATGGATAATGCGACAAAGGAATTAGACCTCGTTCCTAATGAAACCCCGAATGAACTTGTCGATACGTTTGACGAAAGTAAAAAAGAATCAATTATTGATAAGCATGACGTAAATGGAGTGTTAGTGGAACCGGGTGAATTGGAACCTGCATCTGTAAAGCTAAAGATATCAAAGAAGGAACTCAAAAAAATCAAGAAGAAAGAAGAATTTGAAAGGTTGATAGAGGACTCAAAGGCGAAAATTATTTCTGCCTCGGGTACTTTGGATAACTTTGCTCTCTCTCAGGTTAGTCTCATCTTCAATTTTGCCTCATGCTTGGTCATATTATAACGAATTTTCTTTAGGCTGGTGCTGGAATGGCTAAAGTCAGCGCATTCGACAACCAAGTTGACATAAAGGTGGAAGGGTTTTCGATAGCAGCGAAAGGGAAAGATCTTTTTGTTAATGCAAATTTAAGCATTGTTCGAGGGAGGCGATACGGTCTCGTGGGCCCCAACGGGTACGAACTCAATTATCCTCTTATTTTCTTATGTTTTCAATGATTATTTATATTTCTCTTATTTGTATATTCTAAGTTTGGATTAGGGCATTAGTATTCGATTATTTTAGGATGGATTTCATCGGTTCGTACTATTTTAGGTATATTTTTATTCCCAACCTGATTAATTTATTTGATTTTATATATAACTCACTGGATTATTTCCTATTCCAATGACTATCTTTGGTTACATTTAAGATTAGCATATGATTTATATAAATAAATTACTTAAGATAATTATTCTAAATCGAGACTAGTTCATATCTTATTTGAATATTAACTATCTATTCTTTAATGACCTATACCCCCGTTTCTCTACATTGTAATCTTCACGTTCAATCCTATTAATTACTTACGAGACGTTCGTTTATGTATAACATTAACAGCGTTTCTTCACTAAATTAATTAATCCCTTATCCATTGTACTGTTC